AAAATACAAGATCATAGTCCCTCAATGACGCTTCGAATGTTGCCTTATGAATGATCTTAGTCCCTCAAGAGAAATGTTAAGTTATCTGACAACATTGCTATTCATGACTATACGATGACCCACGCCCGTCCCTTTTACATCCAAAGATAAGGTTTCTTACCAATCAATGGTAACATAACAATATCGAAGAAAGGAAGAAATGAACAAAATACTTTTAAGTAGGTAGAACGTTCTTAGTTGCTTGCTCACAATCCATCTTCAAAAACAAAAACATTTTTTTAAACACATCAAACACTTTAAAAACATAAAATATTTTCAAAAAGTCCAACACTTTGTATGCATTCTTATAGAGAGGATAATCATTACAAAGTTTGCCTAAACGAAGGCGTTTTTCAAAAATACTTTCAAAATCCACCAAAACACATTTCAAACAAAGAAATTTCAAAAGTAATCTAGCAAGCAACTAAGAGCCCATAGATAACTATGGATGAAAAGGGTGCTAACACCTTCCCTTTTCATAATCAACCCCCCGAACTCAAGAAAATATCTCAAAGGTCTTTCCTGTTCTTTTCACCCTTTCCTTATTGGATAAAAGAAAAGTCGGTGGCGACTCTTACTATCCATAACAATTGCGATCAAACGCAAAACAACCAAGTCAGTTCTTCCACCGTATCACATCTTCACACTCCAATGAATGCTTAAACATTGATCTATACACCAATTTCAACCTTTCTTTTAACATCACAGACTTGTTGAAGTCAGCATAGATGTTATGACGCGTGGTCATGACATGCAGTCAAATTTATTCAACCCCTGATTGGATTGCCTTCCAAGGAACACAAAAAAAAAGTAGTAAGAAACCATTCATCAGAAATCTAAAACAAGCTTATACAAAGTTGAATAGAAACCTGAGTATCTTCTTCTTGATAAATCTTTTGTTTGATCTATTTTTTCCCAAACACTAAGATGTTCCTTTATGAATGGACTTGAGAATTTACCAAGTATCTTTAGCCATAAGTGATAATGAGTCTGAAAAAGAAACTTATCAATTCCATTGAATATGGTATTGAAAACTTCAAGGTTACATAGAGACAACTCATGCTCTACTCTTCAATCTCTTTAGAACTAGGATTCTCCTATCTTGATAATTCTTCAAAATCTGTTATCCATTGATAACCATAATACAATCATTCCAGTCTTCTATAAGGAACAGTAGTACCAGAATAATTACTCCCTGAAGCTCACCCAATAAACCAAGGTGACTACTTTGATACCAATTGAAATTTCTCCGGTACAGGAAACACATGTTAATACTCATGTCTCAACATCAGAACGATGTCACTACAGATGTTACAACATCTGTTGACAAACTGAACATATTTATTAAGTTATAACAGATACTAAAACTTAAACTGCAAAATAATAAATAACACAAAGAGTTGTTAACCCAGTTCAGTGCAATATCACCTACTATGAGGGCTACCAAGCCAGAAAGAAAGTCAACTATTAGCAATATTAGTTTAAAGCTAAACAATCCTAGTTTACAACTTTTCTCCTAATCCCTACCCAATACAACTTCTACCTAGACATCTTTTAGATATGAGAAATCTTCATCTCACTTCCTAAATCACCTCAGAGATATCTAACAATTACAATCTTAGTGACTGTATCAAGAATAACTCAACCAGAAGATCATATTTCCATTACAATAATTAGTCAATACTCTTGACTAAGAACAATACATGGATTTGCTTAAAAGCTTCATCCAAGAACAATTCTCAACTCATTGCCTAAAGGCTTATGAATGAGAATATAATGTCGTCCACAAGTATCAAAAGATACGAGAGTGGCTTACACCAAACAATACACAAGAGACTCTCAAAACCTGAGACTATTTTTACTTCCCCTAATTTTACAATTGTTGAAAGTTCTAACTACATTAGGTTATGTTTTTTCTTTAAATTCACTTCTGCAGTCCACGGGCTTCAAATTTTACATGCATATATTTCTTGGTCCATGAGTTGAGTGATGCACCAATTGTGTAACAAAATCTTCTTAAATCTTGAAACAAACAGTACAAAGTTTCCTAAATTGTCTCAATGCCCAATTTAGTAACTAATGTACAACTAGAGATATAAAACATGTTCAAGATTAAATCTTCTTGACCTACAAAATTTACTGAGATTATCAAAAAGAAATATCACAGAATCAAATCAAATCTGTCAAGATTTAAAACAATACCACCTACTGTACCAGACCAAGATATCATGACATCTGCTTCGACATCTTACTAAAAAACTCATAACAACAATCCTGATATGACAGTTGATAAAAATACTGCACCATCTTGATCAACATCAATTTAGTATAATGTATTAGGAAAATTATACCAACCTCAAAACTATGAAACTAACACATATAGAACCATAAATGCTACACTGAAATAAGTAATTATACCAAAGTTCAAACCAGTTAAGAAAAGTGGACCATTTGTTAGGAACTTGGCCTAAAAAACACCTCAAATAAATTTTCAAACATTTGTTAACTTCCTTAGTTTTACCACCAGACTATAGATGATATATGAAGCTCATAGCCAAATGTTTTCCACTTTATGTGAAGAGTTGTTTCAAAAAATAACTAGTGAAAAACTTGTCCCTGTTAGATCCACGACTCTTAGAAAACCCATGAAATCATAAAATATTATGAATGAAGACTCCATTAACTTTTAAACTAGTAAAATCAACCTTGAGTGAAATGAAGTGGCTGTATTTGGAGAACATATCCACTAAAACCATAGTGATGGTAAATCCATTAGAGTGAGGTAAGCAAGTAATAAAATCCATAGAGACATTCTACCATATTTTAGAGGGAATTGGCAGGGGTTGAAGCAACTCAACAGGAGTAGTAATGAAGGCCTTTGCTTGTTGACAAACCAAACAACTATAAACAAATAACCTAATATCTTTTTAAAAAGATGGCCATGTAAACAAGGAAGCCAAACATGTTTTGGTTCTTGCAATATCATAGTGACCACCAAGTGGCAATCAATGGAATTCATCCAATATAGATTGAATAAGCATGGAGACGGGGGAAACACCACTTTGTTGTTCCAATAAAAAATTTCATAAATTATATAAAGGATCAACACAATTTCCTTTAAGGGATTGAGATTTGATGGTAGCAAGGTGATGGTTTTCATTGATAACACTGTTAATGAGTGTGAATAATGGATTTTGTACATCTTCTTAACTTCGCCGATCGTATAACTAACCAAGCCTCAGTTTAAGTATCTGTGTAAAATTGTTTGTCCTTTCTTCCTCTCCTCTTCCCCTTTTATAGCTTCCTAGCAACGACTGTAATTTATCTCCCTAAAGCCAATTAATGTCATTTTCCTTTCATCTGATTGGAACCCCTATAATAGCTCTGATGACTATTCATTGTCATATCTTACCTGTGCTTTATCAAGGTTATTAACTAATAAGCTTTTTGTATACTTATTGTGTTAGAAGACAAATGTTTAAGCCCAAGAGAATTAGAAAACAATCCATGTGGCTTAAGGACTATTATCAATATTAGTAAGGTGTATTAGAAATTGCATCTATTATCTTTATTATTGTTGGATTGTAGTTTATTTTTCCAAAAGTGGCTTAGACCAATTAACTAATAAACCCTAAGTATTTAAGATGTAATTTGCTGAAGTTGAGATTTATGAAAAAAGAAAACTTGTTTTATATTTACTTCTTCCTTTGCAACCCTATATCTAAAGTAGAATTAGTGTGAGCTATCATTGGTGTTTTCATCCCTTGTTCTCATGGCCCCCTCAAAACCTTCAAACCTTCTTCAAAAGAATCTTTGGAAGAAGTTGTTCAAGTAGCCCACCTACACCTTGACAATGCTCTGAATCAAATCCAACAATAAATGAATGAGAGGTTTGATAAAGTCACTGCTGATTTGGAGCATCATGTTGGACAAATTCACACCGAATTGGACAATGATAACATATTTCAGATTCCAAATATAATTCTATCATGTCTATCCTCAACAAGATATAATTCTATCATGTCTATCCTCAACAAGATTGTAACACAAGGGGAACAAAGACATACTGCTACTCTTCACTCAGTAGCAAACTCCTCAGGTATCACTCAACATCCATCTTCTATTTCTATGGTCACAAGCCTTGTTATCCAGATTATAACCCATACCAACACCCCCCTTAGACACTCATCCACCTTCTCCACCACCCTCCCCAACCTACTGTTAATGTACCACCACAAAATATTATTGCACCACCCCCACCACCTTTCCTATCCTTTCTCTCTTTCCCAACTGCTTTTCACTCAACACAAAATTATAATATTCCCTTTTCCCACAAATTCCTTACCCCTAAATCGCTCAACTTCCCCCTTTACTCCCATTTCGAACCCCCAAAATTAAACTTGCTTTGTTTGATGGTTCAAACCCTTTGGAATGGTTATTTCAAGCTGAGAAATTCTTCAATTTTTATAATTTACCACCAGAAAATAGACTATCCTTGATTTTTTTTACATGAAAGACGATGCTTTATGTTGGTTTAAATGGATGCATCGAAATAAATAATTGGTGGACTGGTTCGGAATTATGCTTTGGTCCGTTCACATATGCCAATCACCAAGCATAATAATTAAATTAAAACAAGAAGGGTGTGTTGTGGATTATCAAACTAAGTTTGAACAATTGTGCTATCAAGTGGTTGGACTGCCCCAAGAAGCAATTATAAATTATTTCATTTATGGTTTAACTCCTGAAATTCAAAATGAATTGGCTATTCATAAACCAGTTTCAATTTCCCAACAATTGGTGTTCTTAAACTCATTGAGTATAAACTAAAAGATGAAAAACTTAAATTCTTAAAGAACTTTACCACTCCTTTTTCCCGACTTCATCCTACCTTCCAAAACACACAAACTTCAAAACCATATACGTCCACTTTCCCACAATCCAGCAACAACCCCAAACCCACAAACCAATCCCTCCCACCCAAATTGCCTATTAAACGTCTCACTCAGGCCCAATTACAAGAACAAAGAGCCCAAGGTCTTTGTTATAATTGTGATGAAAAATTTGTGATTGGCCACAAGTGTTCAGCTAGTCGGTTTCTACTTCTCTTAGTTGAGGATGATTCCCAAGACTCATGGAATGTAGAAGTGAAACTTGAAACATACCATATTGATGAAGACCCCAGTGATACCTATTCTCAAATGCCAACTGAAGCCTTGACTGATCATTTTTCCCCCAAACACTTAAGTTCAAAGGACTCATTAGAGGACTTTCAGTTATGGTACTAGTTGATATGGGTAATACATATAACATAAGTCAACCTCACATTTCCCTACACCTGAACCTCCCCACCACTGTAATTCCTCACTTTTCAGTTATGGTGGGAAATGGATCACATCTCCAATTTTAAGGAGTTTGCAATAACGTTCGTATTGTCTTAAAAGACCACCTTTTTCACCTCCCATTTTACCTCTTAATCATAGAAGGGGCCGATATTGTTCTCGACATGACATGGTTAAGGACTCTTGGTCCCATTCAGGAAGATTTTTCAATTCTCTCCATTACCTTCACACACAAAGACACTTCAATGACATTAACCGGTGACCTTATATCCCACCTAACTCATACCACCTTTCACCAATTGAGACAACTAATCCACACAAATGCTATCTCCTCACTTCATCTTATGACCTTCCAATCACTAGATCCTACAGACACAAACATTACCCAAAATTTCTCCCCTTTGGCCAATTTACCCCCTAACCTTCACTCTTATATTACAAACCTTCTTGAGCACTAGACCACTGATTTTAAACCCCCCAAGTGGACTCCCACCAACCAGGCCTTATGATCATCATATTACCCACTTACCACATACACCTCCTATCAATGTTAAACCTTATCGCTACCCACACTCACAAAAAGACACTATTACTCCATCATTCAAGAGATGTTAAGGGACATAACCATTGTCCCTAGTAATAGTCCTTTTTCCTCCACAACTTTACTAGTAAAAAAGAAAGATGGCACATGACATTTTGTGTAGATTGTAGAGCTCTTAACATTGTGACAATCTGTTGTAACCAACAAAAAAATAAAGAGTCGCCACCACTAATTTTTGTCCTAAGGACGGGAAAGAACGAATAACCCTAATTTTGTCAGAGATTCTAAGTTCGTAAGTCGATTAGATAAAGGGAAGGTGTTAGGCACCCTTTATCTCCCTTGTTCTCAAGTTGCTCCACTTCTAGGTCTCAGGGTAAATCGGGAATTTCTATTTAAAAGTTTATTGTTTCCATATATTTAAGAAAATGATTAATTTTTTATGTTAAGGGACTCACCTTGGTTTTAACCGCGTGCCTACGTATCTCCTTGCGAAGAATCAGAGTCCAATCTGGCAGTTCGTATGTGTTTGGTTATTTTTTTATTGGTTTGTGCAATTTCTTTCGAACGATTCTTTGAAATTCATTCGTGTTTGAAAATTGTGTATTTGTGGACGTAGTTTGAAGTTTAATTTGAAAGCAAGTTCACAATATGTTTTTTGAAAATAATATTGAATTTTGAATTAAGTTAGTAGAAAAATGTCAGGTTTAATTGATTAGCTATATTAAACGCATGGTATAATTTTGAAAATATTTGAATGATATTGAAATTAGTAAGAAAAGATTTAATGATTTAAAAAAAGATATTAACTTTAGAAAATAGGTTAATAATTATTATAAATATAATATATTACATATTTATAGAAAATATTATTTTAATGCAAAAAAGTGGAAAAAAGATGTAGAGAGAAAAATGCTCAAAATAAACAAATAAATGTAAATAGTAAATAAATAAATAAAATAAAATAAAATAAAATAAAATAATAAAATAAAAGAAAATAATTTTTTTAGTTAAACAGGAGGCTGTATTTTCGTTCAGGTTAGTAAAGTTAGGGGGTTTCAAGAGTAAGGGCTTAAGCCTATACGTTATTTTGGTCTAATACGCTAGAGGATGTAAATTATGTTTACATAGTAAAAGCAAGGGTGTGCATTAAACATCAATGCAGGTGTATGCAAGCATTAATCAACAATAACAAATCAAGAACCTTAAGCTAAGTTTGAGATTTACCTCTTTTGAAGTGACCCTGGTCGTACAAAATCCTTCTATGATCTTTATCTTTTTCTTCTCTAATCCCTTTCTCTATCTCTTTTACAGGTACCAGATGGGGTTAAGTTCGAAGGCTTGGGGTTTCAATGTAAAACCCTAATTATTCAACTAGATTGAGCTCTAATAAGGGTGGGATTCGCAGTAGCAGCAATTTCAAGGGTTTTTTCCTTTAAATTTTTTCGTCCCTTCTTAGGTTTAGAACTTAGGTACTATAGCGGTAGAAATGTTCAAGACTAAGCCATTGGATTTACTAGACTTTATACAAATCAAAAATAAAAATCGCCACTGCGCTTTATTGTTTCCAAAGGAATGGGAAAAGAGCGAATAACCCAAAAAAGAGGGGGAAAGATTCAAGGTAAGGGGGTTGCTTATGAAAAGGGAAGGTATTAGCACCCTAAACATCTACGGTACTCCGTAGGAACCTCTTTGAAAAATCTGTATATTTTGGCTATAAAACATGTTGTATATAAAATGGATGGTGGAGGTGAGAAAAGAAATATACTTTTTATGATTTTTTCACCCGTCGTGGTTGCGAACCTTTAGTGCCTACGTACCACCTTTCGTGCAATAGGGGATCAGGGTACACGTAGTTCCTCTTTTAAAATTTGAAACACAAGTGTGTTGGTTGATTTTAAGAGATAAGACATCAGCGTCATTGTCCGTGTGGAAAACATACTTACTACCCACAATCATGAGAAAGGAGAATTTGCATCATCTGAAAGTGGATGATATGGTTTGGATTTTAAAATCAACAATGCCTCACTCAACACCCAAGTGGAAAATATCTTATTTCACAACATATTGTAGAAGTATAGTTGTTGCATCACTACAAGGATTGACAAGAGTCCAATATTTTGAGAAAAGTTTTAAAGAAAAATACAAAATAGAAAAATGGTTTGAATGAGATTGATTTACTTTTAGTCTTCTCACAAAAAAAGTCAAGGTATTATTAAATTGATTTAAGTTTATTTATGAAAATATTTTGAAAATGCATGGACCTAAGTCCAAGTTTATTATGAGAGTTGTTTAAGTTTAGAAACAATAAGGGTTTTCAAAAGGAGGGAGAAGACTTTGAAATTAAAGAAGATGGAAGGAGAAGAAGAGACTATCCTAAAGCATAAGGTAAAAGCTAGGGATAATAACCATCTAACCAACAAGAAGCAAAAACTTGACATTATGAGCAAAGATAGAATTCCCATTCCTTGGATTGAAACCAAGCAAGCAAAGATACTAGACCTCTTGAGAGAACCAAACTTCAAGTGTATTAAGTCTTCACAAAAATTGGGTAGAGTAACGACTCTATACGGGTGAATTCCATATTACGAACAGAGAAGGTAATCACAAAAACCTGCACACAAAAACAAACAAGCAACCCAACGTCTTGAGGTAAACCTCAAGAACTCCAGACAAAATAATCAGATAAGATCACAAGGTCTCAAAGATAGGCCAAGGTTTCTAATCCTAAGTCCAAGAAAAATTCCCATGCTCCATAATGCCAAGGATAATTATTAAGTATCTTAAGAAAGGAAAAAAAAAAGCTCAAGTGAGCAAAGTAAAAATGGCAAGAAAATAAATGCTATAATGAGCAAAGATGAAAATGGCATGAAATGTAAATGCTAAAAGTAAATAGTACATAAAGCATAAAAAAGAATAAAAGCATAAGATAAAACAAGTCAGTAATTAGTGGTTAGTTAGATGACCATCTTGAAACTTGCATTTGGAACTCATTAGAGGATTGGTAGAACCAAAGCCTCCACACAACAAGTTGCATTTGCTTTTCGTCAAGTATATCATCCATTTGAAATTCTCACAAGTACCATTTAATGATCAATGATGTTTAAGTGATCCGCATTGACCAAAGGTGTTATAGATCCATTACAGGATTGGTAGAACCAAAGCCTCCACACAATGATTCTCAAGGTTATTGGATCAAAGAGATCAAATTAACATACTTGGGCTTGCAATCATAATTTTGGGCCACGAATGATCGTTTATTCAAATCGAGACAAAATTTAGCGCTATGTTAAGCAATCGTAAGTGGACTTATATAGAAGTCGCACCTATTTTGAGGCCGGTCAATAGCAATCTATGCACCATTTGTTTTGAGACATGATATAGAGATCATGCTCCAACAACATTTAGTGCAATAAGAAGGGGATGAGATGAAGAGGGATAGGGTAAAAAAATATACAAACCACATTTGAATTAAATTTTAATCAAACTATTATTAAAATCATTCATCCATTTTTTGTGGAGTTAAACTCAACACCATGGATCCAATGATGTTAATAAAGTTCATGATCCAAAACCTAACACAAGATTAGCCAGAAAATTATCACAAAATAATATCACATTTAATATATAAAAAAAAGATTAAATTTTTTTTAAAAAATAGAAAATAATGAGAAAAATATCAATTATGTTCAAATTAATCAAGAAATGAGAAGTAAGGCCATAGAAAAATTAGAAATCGATCCAAATATTTTTATAAAATTTTTTGTAATTTTTTAAAGTCAGAAACTATTTTTAAACTATTTAAAATTGCCCAAGCAAACATAAAATAGGTCAAAAATAGTAAACCTCAACATAAAATTCCATAAAATTTTCAGAAAGTCAAAAATATGCAAAAATAACATTTATGAGTTTTTTCAGAATTAAAAATTGTCAGAAAGTATTTTTTAAGTAATTAAAAGAAAGCAAATAATAGAAAAAATATAAAAAATATCAAATGTCAAAATAAAAATGTGAATAAATAGTCATGAGATCAGAAATAATTCAAAGTATTTTTGTGAATTGTTTCATAATTTTTGGATAAAAAATAAAAGAGTTATGAATTTTTGAAAATTTAATCAATAAAAAGATAAAATCAGAAAATAAAATAAAACCAAAAAGATGTGGACCATCAGATCATAGTCAAAACGCGTTAGTAAGCTAATCCAGTGGACCAGATGCGATGTGCTTGATATGGACCTTAGTGAGATACACATGGGATCGGAAAAATGGCAACCAATGAAATTAAAACGTTTGGCACGCTATCATTGGCTGAGACGAGACATGTCATCGTCTTCAACCTCCAGACACCCTGCAATGTGGATTTTGTGAGATACTTCAAATGGAAAAGTTAGGATCTCAGGCTAGCATC